TTTTTTTTTGTACAAAGAAGGAAGCCACAGGCCTAAGCTAGAATTTGCCGGAGGTAAGACACCCCAATGTTATCATGTTCCAACCAATCTCCTACCCCTGTAGGCAAAGACACAGCTCGATGCAGGCCAGGCGGATACGAGGCCGCCAAGCCTGCCAAATAGTCAGCAGCGAAGTTCGCTTCTTGATGGACATGTTGAACTCTCACCTCTCAATTCCGTTGGATCAACTCACGAATCCTTAACCATCCCCTCGTGAACACCAAAATAACCTTCCGACTGAGAGATATCATCTTGAGAACACATTGGCTATCGACTTCAGCAATCATCCTACGATATCCTAAGTCCCACGCCAACACATATGTCAGCATACATTTTCGCAATTGATTAAAGAAAAATAATTACCATAAATCAATATATTATTCCTTATTTTGGTTGCCTTTCATGAACTTCAAATTTTCTAAATTAATTTTAAAATTCAACGTTAATTGAATAAAAAAATTATGTCATTTTAGGCACTTAGTATTCATAAAACAAATAGTAAATTTCATGTATTTTGATTTTTGAGCTTATCAAACTTAAAACTTTATACCACGTTTTTTAGGAGGGGAAGGAAGATGATGTGATATTGACGTATATGCCCTGAATGATCATAGACACAAAAGCACAAACAGTACAAACTTGAACCAAATTCTCAACTATAAAATTATAAGTTAATGCAGCATCAAAAAATGCTCGAATCGATTATCAAGGTCAAGTTCCGAAAAAGTACTTACTATGTTGAAATGAAGTTACACTATAGCCTCCGAATGTAATTCCCTAACATCACCACTGTGTGCAAGCAAAGAAAGTATGAAACACACACACACACACACACACTCACAATTTTTATTTTTCTTTTAAAAAAAAAAGGAAAACTCTTCTCATTTGTCGGGTTCACGTGTGCCAATGCTCCAAGCTAGCTACATGTTAGAGCAAAAAAGCTATATGAGTCAATGGTTCGAACAAATCATTTTTAGCTGCCAAACCCATGAGTAAAACATTCCAAGAGCACAATATATGGATATCATCATGAGGGGTAGAAAGGGAAGCCGGTCACCAAAAATGATAGGATGCAAAAACTGTCCCCATATCTCAACAACTATTAAGCCGAACAGGTAGGATCTCCCGAGCCATCCAATGTGGAAAGATGGATTTTCCGGCTTGTGGTCTCTTCCATTGATTGTTGTTGCGTTTTTCCCAGTAAAACGTGAGGAAAACCCGAAAAAAATCAAAACAGTGTGCAGAAGCAGAAGTAGAACTTTAATTGGATATTCTTGGGCTTCGTACATAAGTGGGAAAAGCGAGTAGCAAGACACTGCATATATTATCTCATGAGAATTAGGTTAGCTTGCCAGCAAATTCAGATCATTATTTATATAGTAAATACCACTATGCAATAATATCAAAAAACAAAACAATGGGAAAGTAATACATTGATACAATAATGAGAAAGGACGAAAGAAAGAAAAAGTATATAAATGGACGGTGTGCCTATCATACAACTATACCTGTTGTTTCAATTACTGCTTATTTTTTTAAAACCGACATATAATCGAAAGGTTTTGCCAACTCAAGAGTGTTAAAAAAGCCTCGAAGTCCAATCGCACAGAGAGACCAAGCTTGACTGTGTATCAGTAGCAATAATAACTCCAACGAAAACCAACGTTTTTCATTTAAGAAGGTGACTCATAAATCGTAATCAAGCTAAGAAAAGCAATTAGAAAAACTTTGATACTGACACTCGACACAAATGACTATAAGGAAAATAAGGAAATTTCTGACCTCGTCCATCTAAATAACCAAGTTAGCCACCGCAGATGAAACAATATGGGAATGTGAAATCAAAATTCATTTATATATTAAATTATTACAATTAGATAGCGATATAAGAGGAAATATCAATTTTTTCATGCAACCGTCTAAATTACGAAGTGGTATATAGTTCAACCTCGAAGTAAGAGAACGAGAGCGATTCGAAGGATGGGTGGGGATGGAGAAGCCACACACTATGAAACAATTAAAATGTTTTTTTTTTCATACCTATGGACAAAAAGAAGTAGTGTGTAGCATCCTTCACGCTATTCAAGGATGTCACAGCAAGGGGAATCACAAAGTGAAGAGAAGCCTTTTCATGAACATGCCATCCAAACATAAAGCCGCATGTATATGCATAAGATACCCATCTCGAGACCATCCGTGCTCGGGGATTCTTCCAAGCCTTTACTAGACAAGGTGATATGGCCAACAGGACTGTAACGAACGTAATCAAAGGGGTAATCTGCATTTTTACGAAATGGATCAAAAGAGTTACTCAACATGCTTTGTACCTGTCTCAAATATAACTTTCTTTAGTGATTGCCCAACAAAGACTTGTTGCTCATTGGATTATGTAATATGAAAGCAACTAGCAGAAAGCAACACATCATATAGCAAGAGACTGAATATTGTTACCGTGGGTAATACAGCAAAAGGCGAAGAATCCCCCACTAGACCACCAGTAAAGGAAGCTTTTGGTGCTTGGATATTGAACCCTAGTCTCGCAAGCAAAAATGCCAGAGATTTATCCAACATAATATAAAATACCCAGAAATTTGGAGCCCAGTAGGCATGGCATAGCCCTCTGCCAAAAGGAAACATGCGATGGAGAACTTGTTGTATCTGCAAAGGTAACATGTAAAATACTGAACAATTATAAATGTTTGTTACTAATGTCACACAACTAATCTCATGCAAATATAAACGGTCAACTGCATTACATACTGTCAAAGTAGCCCTTCATTGCTTTTTTTTTTTTAGCATTTCATTGCTTGGCCACTGCCAGATCAAACGGCAAATGGACATCATAGCTAGGAATTTCTAACAAACCAACTCATTTTGAAAATGGTTTATAAGTAAGAAAATGAAAGAGTGATCTCAATCTAAAAAAAAAAAAAAAACAGAGTACATGAACACGAAACAATATTTGGTAACTTGCTCAGCCTCTAAATTCATCAGGCAAACACAAATGCAAGATATATCATCAGTGATACCATCAGCCTCTACATTCATCAACATTCATCAGGCAAGATATATCACCAGCGATACTAAATTGGATGAGTTGAATGTATATATATCAAATGACAGCAAACACAAACGCAAACAGGAAACTCACATCATTCACAGCCTACTTCAACTTCAAATCATTAGCCAACTCACGTCATTTCATCATTCTTGATCAACACAACAACCATGTAAAGTTTACCTGACCATAGTACCAAAACGGCCCATATGCAGCGGCAAACACCGCCATAACCACACTCCCCATAAGCACCAACCTCGCTAATCCTTTAGCAAACCCACCCCTACAATAATGCCTAAAAAGATAAACGAAATACAAAGGCGCAGCCACAGCAAACAGATGCTTAAAACAGAGCAAAACCGCGAAAACGAAACCTCCGAGCAAGTCCCTTCCTTCCTCCAGAAATGAAATTGACAGCAACAGCATCCCCAACAGAAACCCATTGTACTGGAAGTGCAAATGGTCAACGATAAACAACCCAGGCGACCAAACGAGCAACCCCCAAATCAAAAGCCTCTCGAATTTCCCGAAGCTCCTGTTTCCGGTCAGCCTATGGGCCGCGCAGGCCAAAACGACGTCAGACAGCGCGACGGAGATCCGCTGGAATAGGATCGTGCGCGGCGAGGCGTAATCGAGCCCGCGGTGGAGATCTGTCATGGTGGGGTCCACCTTTGAGGCGATGACGGAGAGAAAATTCTCGAAGTAGGCGAAGAACGGTGGGTAATCGAGGGTCCACTGACTGGTGGCGTCGGAGTACCATTGGGGGAGGGGGAGGGAGTGGGTCAGGGCCAGCCAGTGGCGGTGGACCTCGAAATCAGTGCTCCGGTAGGCGGGGATCAAGAGGAGCTTGAACGCGGCGGCGACAAGGGCCGGCCACCATATGTCGTCGCCGATGTGTCGGCGGTTGTGCTGGGGTTTCTTCATCGGGGAGTGAGTGAGGGGCAATTTTGAACATGTAAAATAGTTATTGTATTTGAACTAGTACGAATCCCGTGAGTTAAGATATTTTTATTAATATTGGTAAATTAAAATTGCTCATTAAATAATATATATAAATTAAAATTATAGAATCAATATGCAGTATAATTTATCTGTATTAAGTTATTTAAAATGTTATGTTATATCGATTAAATTGTGCAAAATTACATTAAACATGTTTATTTAAAGTTAGTACACAACTCGTACTGTAGGCATAACTGATAATAAACTATATTATATTCATTTCAAAATAATTGTCATTTTAAATTTTTATTCAGAAATTTAATTTGAATACAATGTGATCCATAAAATAATTATTTGGTGATTCATATGTTTAAAAATCTATGTGAATAATAAGTATAATTAATATTGAAATTTATATTGTTTCATTAATTAAAATAAATTTATTTTTGTATAAACTATCCAAATCAATAA